CCCTGAACCCTCAACCCTAAACCGGTCTGAGGGCCCGGAGTTCAGGCGATACTCTGAGCAGTGCTTAGAGGCTCAAGGGGGCGGATATACAAGTAATAAGTAAAGGTAAACTATAGTTATATCTACTTATAAGCTTAATTAACGTACTTATACCCATACTTACTAAGTGCCCGGATTCTTTAAGTAGGGTTATAAGTAATAAGCAAAGGTAACTATAGCTAATATCTACATACCCGAGTTCAGGTACCTATATATACCCGTCAACTTCTTATGATCCCTCATGTAATGGGTTGTGGGAGTCTGCGCCTCCTCGGTGAAGGACGGCAGTCGGTCCCCGCAGCGTTTTCGCATGCTCTCCTCGCGGGAATCAGCGTGACTGGTGGTGGTTGCGGGACTTCCAGGTCTTACCCTAAAGTCCCACAACTTCTGCCAGCAAGCTCGGGCATCAAATCGTAGTCGAAAGACGGCTGGTCGTGGTAGTGATGACCACCAAACTGATGATGCTACTACGACGACGATGATAACGATGATGTCGCTGAAGATGAAGACAATAAGTAATTTCATGAGGATGATAAGGAGGAGTTGTCAGAGGACGAGGAGCAGGCGACTCAGGCGGAGAATAGCAATGATCGTGATCACGATTATCTTCGTCATCCCAACCTAAAGAACTGCAGTGCTGTGCTTTCGTTGACACGAGCAGCTTTCACAGGAAACCCCAAACGGCTCGTAGGAAAATCTCCTCAGCTCATTAAAACAGCATCTCTCAGATGAGGCTCCGGGTAGTCGCCCTTCCAGATGGGATCCGCGAACCATCCGAGCTGCCAGTCGAGCGCACGCTGTGCAGCGGCCTTATCGCCCTCGGCCTCCGTCAGCGGATGCCTGGGCCGGAGCAAGAGGGATGGCTTGAAGGGTTCTTTCGGGGTTCTAATGTAGCGGCCTTAATAATTAGAATCGGGTTTTGGGGTATATTATACTATACCATAATTATAATAACGAACCCCCAATATAGTATTGGAAATTATTAAGGCCCCTATATTATATGGGGTCTTTAAGGCTTCTATATGGACTCTGCAAGCGTCCTTTCAGGGTTCTACAAGAGTTCAGTTGGGTTCAGGACTTAGGGCGTAGTAGGGTGTCGGGCTCTGCGGTTTCCGGGCGCGTGCCGGACATTTTCATGGTATAAAGAAATGGCGCCCCGACACCAGGAGTGCACGACGTGGTGTGTTGCTGAATTATTCCAGCACTGCTCACACAGGGTCCACACGCTACGCCTTTTCGGGCTTCGGGCTAGGCTATAAGCCCCTTCCCGCTTCACCCAATCCTACCTCCGACCCAACGCACAGGGCGGCGGTAAGGGTTTTCGACATTTCAGTGCTTGGGGAAGCACCTTAAACTAAAACCTTGAACCCTTGTAGTTCAAACTGTAGTACAAAAACCCTGTAACACGCTGGGCCCTACACCCAACGAAATCCCATAAGACCCTTACAGAACCCTTGTAGCACTCTCCTCGAACCCCGGCCAAACCGCAGGGTGCCTCCAGTCCATACGGTCTAGGGTTTAGGGTTTAGGGTTTAGGGTTGACCCCGACCAAACCGCAGGGTGCCTCCAGTCCATGTTCAGCGTGATGCCGATTTGACCTCCTTGCTTCGCCTGGAACTTCTCGCGATAGGTCTTGACCTGAGAGTTTAGGCTTCGGGCTTGAGGGTTTAGGGTTTAGGCTTGAGTGTTTAGGCTTGAGGGTTCAGGCTTGAGGGTTTAGGCTTTAGGGTTTAGGCTTGAGTGTTTAGGCTTGAGGGTTTAGGCTTTAGGGTTTAGGCTTGAGTGTTTAGGCTTGAGGGTTTAGGCTTTAGGCCTTAGGGTTTAGGCTTTGGTGTTTAGGCTTGAGGGTTTAGGCTGAACGCCCAGGATGGCCCAGGTGCCAGGGAAAGGGGAGGCTTTTGTGGAAAGCACTGCCTACTTGGAGGATCATGGGACTTAGTAAGTAGGGATATAAGTAAGGTAACTATGGTTATATCTACTTATAACCCTATTTAGGGTTCTTATAACCCTACTTACTAAGTCCCCTGATCCTGTAAGTACCCAGACCTTCTGATCTTGCTTTGTCAAGGCCTCCTCTGGCGTCGTCATCGGAACCCTGAGAACACTTTAGGAGTATTTCCTACTGCTCAACTAAACCCTATACCCGAAACCGAAACCCTAAACCCTAAACCCCTAAACCCTAAAACCCTAAAACCCTAAAACCCTGAACCCTGAACCGAAACCCTAAACCCTCGAGCAAAAGAGGGTGGAAGTCAGTGGGTTCGCTGGATTTCTGTTGGACCCGGGAGAGGCGCTTCAATGGCTCTACTTGTCATGAATAAGAATGTTATTTCATTTATAGTAATCTATCTTATTGTATTTATAGTTATCTATCTGATTGTAAATTCTTGTCATTTTATATTTAGAGTAATCTATTTTATTGTAAAGGGAAAAGATAATACTGTGCACTGGCATTAGGGCTTTAGGTTTTAGGGTTAGGAATTTGGGGGCTTCGGGCCTAGGGTTTTAAGATTTAAAGTGGGTTGGCAGGTTGAGGGCTTCGGGCTTAGGGTTGAGGAGATGGGGTTTAGGGGTTTACGGTTTGGGGTTCAGGGTTTAGAAAATAGAGTTTGGGACTGAGGGCCAAAGCCCTAAACCCCAAAGGGCGGGAACCCTAGTCCCTAAACCCCAGTAACCGAGTCCCACGATCCTTTCAAGGCCTAAACCCCGTAAACCCCAGCCCCAAAAATTCCTAAACCCTAAACCTTAAACCTCAACCCTGAAACCCTAAACCTTAAACCCTCAACCCTAAAACCTAAACCTTAGACCCTAGACCCTAAACCCTTAGGTGGAAGAGCTTAAGGCGAGCGGCCGCCCGAGCGTGGCTGAGGATGATGTGGTGCGCTGCGATGTAGGGCTCGGTATCCGGCTTCTCCTTTCTCTTTCTAACAAGCAACAAGAAACATGTCCTGTCTTTTTTAACGGCTGAGGGTTTTGGTGTTTAAGATGTATGGTTCAATGCTCCGGGTTTAGGGTCTGGGGCTCAGGCAGTTTCGGTTTAGAGGTTCAAAAACAAGGGCCCAAGGAAGATAGATGCCTGAGAAGGACTTCAAGCTTTAGACACCCCGTTCAGTCGTCTTGGACATGCAGGTTTGGGGCAATGCTGCAGGCTTCAGCTGCGAACTTGGTTGCACAGCTTGGTAGCCGTCGCAACACTTTTTAAGGTAAGGCGTAAGGCGAAGTCTAGTCACAATCCTTTTGGCCTCTGCACTGCACAATGCACGGCCCCTAGGCGTGCGTCGGTCCTTCTTGCCCGGGGCCATCTCGCCATTTGCATAGCCCAAGACAGTGGAGCACCAAGGCTCGTTGAAGGTGATCCACGACCTCTATGTCTCTGGTTTAAACAATCGTCGGCACTGCGGCAAGGGCAACTGCGGGGAATACCACTTAAGATGATCTATACACACATGCGGGTACAGATCCTCAACCTTGATAGGTGTACATCCTTTAGCCAGACTGACAGACAGACTGACAGACAGGCAGGCCGGCAGGCAGGCAGGCAGGTCTGTCTAGGTAGATAGACAGATAGATAGGTGGATCGCTAGATTCATGGATAGATAGATAGATAGATAGATAGACAGATAGATAGATAGATAGATAAGTAGGTAAGTAGCTAGGTAGCTAGGTAGGTAGATAGATATGTAGATAGATAGGTGGATCGCTAGATAGATAGATCGATAG